AGTACTCCTGTCCTGCCAAAGACTGTGCGGCCTGAACGATTTAATTTTCGTCCCGACAGCTGGTGAAATGTCTACTATTTTATGGAGTACAATTAAGTACTGCTACTATGGGGTTGGTGTGTTTACAGAACTACATGACGTTAATGAACTTGGTTAGCAAGTTTGTTTTGATATTAGCCACGTCTGTATTTGGTAGTCCAAATTAATAAACTGTTATTTTGTTTGAAGAGAGTTTACTATTTGAATAGGTAATATTTTTGAAGCAGAAAAAGGTACTTTGTTTTTCTTCGCCCCTCCTTCGGGGTGACGCACGTCTTAATGATCCCAAGAGCTGAGCTATACTGAAGAGTGGCGCGTGGCGCTCCTGGCGCCGCCGAACGCTGTCTGGTGGCTACTACTGGCAGAGTTCAACCTCGTACACTCTGGCACCTTCCATACGCCTCTCCGCTTTTCTCGCCGCCTCCTTAACAATCCCGAGGCGCGTTTTCGCGTTTAAATTTTTGTCACCAGCCCCAGCAATTGTACAGTGTTTCTCTTCGAGATGCGCGGGTTGGCCGACGATAGATAATGTATACATCACTTCGTAATTAGGGACTTCAGCATGCTAGAAAGGTTTTTCGTAAAATGAGTACTACTCAAGTTAACTTTAATAATGAAAGTAGTTGTTGTTATGCCGGTGTTGAGTTTCCTTTTTCGTAGTGTGTTTTTTATCGATTTTTGTGTGTATGGATTTTTGTAGCGAAGTGTTTCATTACTCTTTTGATTGTGTGAATTCTCTATATGGTATTTCATGTGAATGTTTGTAAGAGGTGGATTCTTCCTTTTTTTTGGCGTACTGTAGGAAAAGTCTCATGGACTACGATTTACTAAAAGAATTTTAATGCCAATGAGTTTAGTGGATGTTTTATGGAGTTCCTTTATGCTCATGGTCAAGTGCAATGGGGGTAATGCTTCTTCCCAATGGTATTCATGGTATTAGTATTCCATTCTGTACTCTTTAGTGAATCATAAGGCGTACCTTACTTTTAAAGTTGTAATGGTGCTAGCTTTACTCAGGGAGTCATTTTACCCTTTTAAATGGGAATCCATTATTTTTTTTATTCAGGTTGGGTGATTTCTCAGGATATATTAATATTGTTTTTAAAGAGCTGAACGAGTTTCCAGAATACATTCTATGCTTTGCACATTCACTAAATGTGATTGGGAAATGTGGTGCTGAATGTTGCCAAGAAGCGGCAATTTTCTTTGACTTTGTAGAAAGCCTGTACACATTTTTTTCTCTCTCTTCTTATCGTTCGAGTCTATTTGTTCTGCATTATCTGATAGTGCTGCTCACTTTCCCACTGTGAAAATATTGGTTGACACTAGGTGGTCATCTCGTGCAGAGGCAACAAAAGCTCTTTTGCAGAGCTCTCTTATGCTAAAACAAGTCTCGGACTACATTTCACATAACAGTGATCAGAAGGCAAAATGTCGACAGCAGGCTTTCGAACTACTTTCAACAATGATGAAGCTCGAAACAGGAATAATGATCACATTTTGTGTTCAAATATTACTGCGTTTACAGATGACATGTGCTTATCTGCACTCTTCTAGGCAAGATCTGAACACAGCTTGTGCAATCTATGAATCATTACAAGGATATGTTCAAACTCTGCGTTCTACGTTGTCAGACACTGAACAAAAGGGCAAAACTCTAACTGGATGTGAAGAATATAAATGTCAAATTCAAAGAGAACATAAACGAAACCGAGCAATGATCATCTCTGTGGTTCAAGTTATATTGATCCAATTGTTGAATCCCAAACTCCCTCTCAACTATTTCAAACTCAAACATTTTTTGTCATTATCGATAACTTGCTTTCAGCCCTGTCAAAATTTCATAAAGCTTACCAGAAGATGTATGGTTTATTTTGTTTCCTTCATCGGTTACAGTCGTTAACGCGGAAAGATGTTTCGAGGAAATCATCCAATCCTGTCAAATTTTATCCTGCCGATCTGGAAGAGAGACTTGGTGAAGAACTGCTGCAGTTTATTGAATTATTGAAAACTAAGCATCTAATTTCTAATGATTCCAAATCAAAATAAGAATTAGTAGAAGTGCAGTTGCATCGTTTAATAGCAGGAAATTCTTTGGTGTGTTGATTTCCGAATGTAGAAACTGCCTTGCTCATCTACTTGTCACTCATGGTGACCAACTGCACTGGAGAATGCTCATTTTCGAAATTAAAACGAATTAAAAATGAACACAGAACCACCAAACAGACTCAACAATCTCACTCTAATGAGTATTGAACATGAACTTTTGTGTCAGATAAACGTTTCAGACATTATAAACAAATTTTCTCATGCTAAAGTTCGAAGAGGGAAATTTTCAATCACAGCATTTTTTTAATGTTGTTGTTTGAAGCTGACAACTGTGTAAAAATAAAAATGCTACTACTAAAATGCTTAACCTTGTAAATAAATATACAGTATTTTATACTTAAGTCAAACGAAATAATTGAATTCATGTTTCATACAAGATAATACATGTTTAAATTTTAAGAGTTTTTTTTTTTAAATTTACATAATCTTTCATCTTCTTCATATGTTACTGGCCCCGCACTTGCTTAATCCGGCCCTGAATCGGGGACAGCTATGTTTAAACAACGCGTCGATATAGGCCACTGTAAGGCAGATACCCAAATCTTTCCACATCCGACCAGTAGCTAGGGAAGATCACAACATGGGTGTGTCTGTCCTTCCACGCTCGGCCATTCGATGATCAGCTAGATAGAGCCTCCAGCATCAAGAATAAGGTGGGGACTGTCCGATTTAAATATATACAGAAATGCCATGAGATAGACATAATTTAATTTATGTTAATGTATTAATTACCTATGAAATCGTTCCCCGTTACTGGAACTCTTTCAGTATTGTATTGTCTGTGTCTCACATATCATGATTAAACTACTCAGTTACCACAAAAGCTCTACCATTAACCATTATTTCAGCTATGCCCCTTAACCATTCTCGTATGGATATGACTTTAAGTCATTATCCATAACAAAGTTCATATGGGATCACTCAGGCTTCTCTTTGCCTTATATTCTCTTTCTCTTGCCATCGATGCAACCTGCCTGTCTTTCATAAGGAACTGGCTGAACATTATTTCTGGTCCACTGGTGAGACTGCTGCGGTCAGAGCTAAGCAGGTTAAACCAAACCACTTGGGTAATTATGGAACTATATCGGCCAAGTGACTCTCATATCCTATGACGAGTAGGCATTCAGTTCCACCGTGATTATTAGGTGTCCGAAGTTTCGAGATAATATTTAATGTGTAATTATTTGCAACTGTACACTATTTGAATATATTGTCACATTAATTGCGCACGTAGAGACATTTTCAGACACTAATAATGTAACAAGCCCGGCTAGCTCAGTCGGTAGAGCACGAGACTCTTAATCTCGGGGTCGTGGGTTCGAGCCCCACGTTGGGCGACGCATATTTTTTACTACTTCATTACCCACACATTCAGCTTACAGGATGTACAGTTAAAAAAGAAAAGCAATTTATGCAATCTCAAACATGTATTAATGTGATATTTATTTTTACAAATAAATCAGCCAATTGGTTATCAATAACATTGACACTGGTTTTAATAGCGCTATTTATTTAATTGACATAATGATATGAACGATTTTTGTTTATTATCACATGGTTAAGATTTTGAATAATTAGATGTACGAATGAGAACATTCATGTGTAAATGCATTTAGTTAGCTAGTTTTATTTTTTGTTTATATTTTTTATGTAATAGTTTATATAAATTACTATTTCACAGTCTCAACTGATTGTTAATGTTTCAGGGATATTTTCGTATAATTTTATTACATTTTTACGAGACCTTAAATTCTATGGATTAGGGACATTTACATAGTTTTTCCTCAAATTTCAAAAAGAATATACTTTATATAAAAAAATTGTTCCCACTTATTACATGTAGTATAAAAAGGGTATCAAAAAGAACTCTGTTTAAAAATTCCCCCAAAATTTACATTTTTACAAAATACATCTCTTTCCAGCTATATGCAGGTTACATATAATTAGCTTGCTTTCAACCTTTTTTAACTAAAATGGCAGCAAGGCCCCCCTCCCCCCCCCCTTTAAAATGTTGACGGAACAGCAGTTCCTGCCCAAGTGAAAACCCTGTGCTGTCTCCCCGAATCTGGGCGAGAAACCTGTATTTATATTTTATTTGGAATCATCTAGAACATTACAAAATGATCTCCACTCCGTCGACATCCAGAAGTACTGGAAGGGCATCCTGATGGTACGTGACTGGCTGGCAGGCGTCACGTGACCAAGGAGACGTTCGAGGGACGGGAAGGAAGTCATAGATTACTTTACAAAACAGAACAAAAAGTATATATTCAAGCATAATGGTTATTTGTTTTTCATTCAAGTCGTTACGTCAATTAAATAAAAAGAGCAATTACAACTAGTGTCATTGACTTTGATGCTTAGGTGGTTGTGTTATAAGTCAGTGTCACGTATCGGGGCATACGTCGTGCGTCGGGGTTAATTGTAGGGTACACCCCCCTCCACACCGGAAATGCTTGGAGGTGGGTCGACAAACCATAACTCACCCCTTTCTCCACGGGCACTATCATTCCCCGCTAAGCCCGTTACCCTCCTCCGTGCCATTTTCGCGTAAAGCGTTTAACGGGGCAAACTTTGAATGTTGATTAGTAAGAGAAGATACTGCTGCCTCTTCGAACGGAAGGAACTAAGCAGTTCAAAGCAGACCATTTGGGGAATTACAGAGCTCTGTCGTCCTAGAGAATCTCACATCCGAATGACAAGTAGGAGGTCATCAAAGCCTTAAATTGGTCACCGAGATTAGGAGGTGTCCGAAGTTTGGAGACATTATTGAGTGTAATTATTGCAAATGTGTCACTATTTGAATTTTTTATCGTGTAAATCTCGAGGCTTAGAGCCTAATGTAGCAGCAAGCCCGGCTAGCTCAGTCGGTAGAGCACGAGACACTCAATCTCAGGTATCGTGGGTTCGAGCCCAACGCTGGGCGGTGCTTTCTTTAACTTGATTACCCATACATTTTGCTTACGGTGTACACAATGCCATTAAAAGCGATTCCCGCAGTCTAAATCATGAATTAATGTGACATTTGCTTTCACGAATAAATCAGGGAATTGGTTATAATTAACAATGACACTAGTTGTAATAGCTATTTTTATTTAATTGACGTAACGACTTGAATGAAAAACAAATAACCATTATGCTTGAATATATACTTTTTGTTCTGTTTTGTAAAGTAATCTATGACTTCCTTCCCGTCCCTCGAACGTCTCCTTGGTCACGTGACGCCTGCCAGCCAGTCACGTACCATCAGGATGCCCTTCCAGTACTTCTGGATGTCGACGGAGTGGAGATCATTTTGTAATGTTCTAGATGATTCCAAATAAAATATAAATACAGGTTTCTCGCCCAGATTCGGGGAGACAGCACAGGGTTTTCACTTGGGCAGGAACTGTTGTTCCGTCAACATTTTAAAGGGGGGGGGAGGGGGGCCTTGCTGCCATTTTAGTTAAAAAAGGTTGAAAGCAAGCTAATTATATGTAACCTGCATATAGCTGGAAAGAGATGTATTTTGTAAAAATGTAAATTTTGGGGGAATTTTTAAACAGAGTTCTTTTTGATACCCTTTTTATACTACATGTAATAAGTGGGAACAATTTTTTTATATAAAGTATATTCTTTTTGAAATTTGAGGAAAAACTATGTAAATGTCCCTAATCCATAGAATTTAAGGTCTCGTAAAAATGTAATAAAATTATACGAAAATATCCCTGAAACATTAACAATCAGTTGAGACTGTGAAATAGTAATTTATATAAAACTATTACATAAAAAATATAAACAAAAAATAAAACTAGCTAACTAAATGCATTTACACATGAATGTTCTCATTCGTACATCTAATTATTCAAAATCTTAACCATGTGATAATAAACAAAAATCGTTCATATCATTATGTCAATTAAATAAATAGCGCTATTAAAACCAGTGTCAATGTTATTGATAACCAATTGGCTGATTTATTTGTAAAAATAAATATCACATTAATACATGTTTGAGATTGCATAAATTGCTTTTCTTTTTTAACTGTACATCCTGTAAGCTGAATGTGTGGGTAATGAAGTAGTAAAAAATATGCGTCGCCCAGCGTGGGGCTCGAACCCACGACCCCGAGATTAAGAGTCTCGTGCTCTACCGACTGAGCTAGCCGGGCTTGTTACATTATTAGTGTCTGAAAATGTCTCTACGTGCGCAATTAATGTGACAATATATTCAAATAGTGTACAGTTGCAAATAATTACACATTAAATATTATCTCGAAACTTCGGACACCTAATAATCACGGTGGAACTGAATGCCTACTCGTCATAGGATATGAGAGTCACTTGGCCGATATAGTTCCATAATTACCCAAGTGGTTTGGTTTAACCTGCTTAGCTCTGACCGCAGCAGTCTCACCAGTGGACCAGAAATAATGTTCAGCCAGTTCCTTATGAAAGACAGGCAGGTTGCATCGATGGCAAGAGAAAGAGAATATAAGGCAAAGAGAAGCCTGAGTGATCCCATATGAACTTTGTTATGGATAATGACTTAAAGTCATATCCATACGAGAATGGTTAAGGGGCATAGCTGAAATAATGGTTAATGGTAGAGCTTTTGTGGTAACTGAGTAGTTTAATCATGATATGTGAGACACAGACAATACAATACTGAAAGAGTTCCAGTAACGGGGAACGATTTCATAGGTAATTAATACATTAACATAAATTAAATTATGTCTATCTCATGGCATTTCTGTATATATTTAAATCGGACAGTCCCCACCTTATTCTTGATGCTGGAGGCTCTATCTAGCTGATCATCGAATGGCCGAGCGTGGAAGGACAGACACACCCATGTTGTGATCTTCCCTAGCTACTGGTCGGATGTGGAAAGATTTGGGTATCTGCCTTACAGTGGCCTATATCGACGCGTTGTTTAAACATAGCTGTCCCCGATTCAGGGCCGGATTAAGCAAGTGCGGGGCCAGTAACATATGAAGAAGATGAAAGATTATGTAAATTTAAAAAAAAAAACTCTTAAAATTTAAACATGTATTATCTTGTATGAAACATGAATTCAATTATTTCGTTTGACTTAAGTATAAAATACTGTATATTTATTTACAAGGTTAAGCATTTTAGTAGTAGCATTTTTATTTTTACACAGTTGTCAGCTTCAAACAACAACATTAAAAAAATGCTGTGATTGAAAATTTCCCTCTTCGAACTTTAGCATGAGAAAATTTGTTTATAATGTCTGAAACGTTTATCTGACACAAAAGTTCATGTTCAATACTCATTAGAGTGAGATTGTTGAGTCTGTTTGGTGGTTCTGTGTTCATTTTTAATTCGTTTTAATTTCGAAAATGAGCATTCTCCAGTGCAGTTGGTCACCATGAGTGACAAGTAGATGAGCAAGGCAGTTTCTACATTCGGAAATCAACACACCAAAGAATTTCCTGCTATTAAACGATGCAACTGCACTTCTACTAATTCTTATTTTGATTTGGAATCATTAGAAATTAGATGCTTAGTTTTCAATAATTCAATAAACTGCAGCAGTTCTTCACCAAGTCTCTCTTCCAGATCGGCAGGATAAAATTTGACAGGATTGGATGATTTCCTCGAAACATCTTTCCGCGTTAACGACTGTAACCGATGAAGGAAACAAAATAAACCATACATCTTCTGGTAAGCTTTATGAAATTTTGACAGGGCTGAAAGCAAGTTATCGATAATGACAAAAAATGTTTGAGTTTGAAATAGTTGAGAGGGAGTTTGGGATTCAACAATTGGATCAATATAACTTGAACCACAGAGATGATCATTGCTCGGTTTCGTTTATGTTCTCTTTGAATTTGACATTTATATTCTTCACATCCAGTTAGAGTTTTGCCCTTTTGTTCAGTGTCTGACAACGTAGAACGCAGAGTTTGAACATATCCTTGTAATGATTCATAGATTGCACAAGCTGTGTTCAGATCTTGCCTAGAAGAGTGCAGATAAGCACATGTCATCTGAAAACGCAGTAATATTTGATCACAAAATGTGATCATTATTCCTGTTTCGAGCTTCATCATTGTTGAAAGTAGTTCGAAAGCCTCCTTTGGCCTTTTTGCCTTCTGATCACTGTTATGTGAAATGTCGTCCGAGACTTGTTTTAGCATAGGAGAGCTCTGCAAAAGAGCTTATTATCACGCGATTTACGTCGGGATATTGGATATGGGATGATATCGAAACGTAGCAATTTATGAATTATTGCATAAATTAACTTTAAATATAAAAAAAATCTGTAAATATAATATAAAATTATGCCGGCTTATATATTACGTTTCGACATTTGAGTGGAAAACAGAAAGGATTATGAAACTAACATATACACCATTATGTAAAGTGAATCGTGTTTGTGAAGTAACGGAAAATTTCATACATATATATGAACTAGTTTCTGTAAAATTTAAAGTTATATTTAGATCCTAAAACAAATTATGAGTTTTGTTTGTTTGCTACTCCCCTTTAGTGCGTGGCAGGGCTAAAGTAAGGCAATGAGAAGGACGCACAACATTAAAAGTCAAGAAAGCATGGACAAAAATTCCAATATTAATACAAAATATATTGAAGCCCATCTATACATTATCACCAAGAACAACAACTTTGCAACTTGATTTGAAACATATAAATTACCTTTGTAAATATCTGTTGCTTGCTACCAATCAGCGAACTAGGGGGAAGGAGAGAACACACATGCACTGGAACAAACAGAATAACAACAATATTAATATATCCTGAGAAATCACCCAACCTGAATAAAAAAAATAATGGATTCCCATTTAAAAGGGTAAAATGACTCCCTGAGTAAAGCTAGCACCATTACAACTTTAAAAGTAAGGTACGCCTTATGATTCACTAAAAAGTACAGAATGGAATACTAATACCATGAATACCATTGGGAAGGAGCATTACCCCCATTACACTTAACCATGAGCATAAAGGAACTCCATAAAACATCCACTAAACTCATTGGCATTAAAATTCTTTTAGTAAATCGTAGTCCATGAGACCTTTCCTACAGTACGCCAAACAAAGGAAGAATCCACCTCTTACAAACATTCACATGAAATACCATATAGAGAATTCACACAATCAAAAGAGTAATGAAACACTTCCCTACAAAAATCCATACACACAAAAATCGATAAAAAAAAAAACACACTACCAAAAAGGAAACTCAACACCGGCATAACAACAACTACTTTCATTACAAAACTTAACTTGAGTAGTACTCATATTACGCGAAAACGTGTCTAGCATGGCGAAGCCCCGAAGTACGAAGTGCTGTAGACATGATCTATCGTCGGCCAGCCCACGCAACTCGAAGAGAAACACTGTACAATTGCTGGGGCTGGTGACAAAAATTTAAACGCGAAAACGCGCCTCGGGATTGTTAAGGAGGCGGCGAGAAAAGCGGAGAGGCGTATGGAAGGTGCCAGAGTGTACGATGTTAAACTCTGCCAGTAGTATCCACCAGACAGCGTTCGGCCGCGCCAGGAGCGCCACGCGCCACTCTTCAGTATAGCTCAGCTCTTGGGATCATTAAGACGTGCGTCACCCCGAAGGAGGGGCGAAGAAAAACAAAGTACCTTTTTCTGCTTCAAAAATATTGCCTATTAAAATAGTAACCCCTCTTCAAACAAAATAACAGTTTATTAATCTGGACTACCAAATACAGACGTGGCTAATATCAAAACAGACTTGCTAACCAAGTTCATTAACGTCATGTAGTTCTGTAAACACACCAACCCCATAGTAGCAGCACTTAATCGTACTCCAGAAAATCGTAGACATCACACATTTCACCAGCTGTCGGGACGAAAATTAAATCGTTCAGGCCGCACAGTCTTTGGCAGGACAGGAGTACTCACACAAAATTGCTTGAGTTTTCTAATTG